AAATAGGTTATTTTTTACTCACTATAGTAGGGATGTGCATCTCCATAACTGAGGCCGATGCGATACGCATCTCGATACATTGAAGATACATATGAAGTAGCTAGCGATGCTATGCGATCCAATTCAACACAATGTGATTCGATGCAATGGAAAAAATATGATCGCATTTATTTCTTTGGTTTAGACAGACAGCAAATCATAAATTAAATTATGTGTCTTCTGACTTCTAATGCCTCGAGGCCTGTTTCATAAAACAAGCTTACCAAATAGGCCTGGCTTATTTCAGTTATAGTCTGACTCACTGTCAAATGATTTGGTTCCATAAAACAAATTTAACAAAGATCAAAATCAGTCACTGTGGCGACTTATGCTGGAAAGCTAACCTGGTCCAGGGCAGGCAAACTGTCAGACTAAGCTGAGCTCCTCTAACACTGAACAATAGGAATGCAATGACATTACCAACTAACGTTACATATAAAATATTGGTCACAGATTATTGGTCACTTTCTAAACAATAAAAGTGTAGCCTATAAATTGGTTTTTACCGATGCAAATATGTTAGAAACGATGCATCGTGATACAAATGCCAACTTGTATCCGATGCACACCTTTTAAACCGATGCATCGCATCGTTAATTTTTTTTTTGCCGATGCACCGAGTGACTGTTACAGTTTAACAAGTCCAACACTGACATGAATGCAGAAATAGGAGAACATTTATGTAAAATTTAACTAGCTGTGGTTTGAGTGGCACCCTCTGCTGGTTAAAGGAGATAAATATAAAATACATGTTTCCTCTGACCATCTCTTCTTCTCTTTCTCGACAGCTGGAAGGATGGTCTCGCCTTCAATGCTCTGATCCATAGACACAGGCCAGAGCTCATCGATTATGACAAGCTGAGAAAGGTTAGTATCTCATTAGAAAAAAAGGCTAAGATGCAATCCGTAAACGTTAATGCATTGATTTGAGGGATGATTTTGTGGAGTTCTTTAGATTTAGAAAGATTAAAAGTGGAGCTGAGACTAACTGGCAGCAAAAAGCACTGTCAAATTAGTGAATTAATTTAATAAACATGCAAGGGTGGTGACGGATGTTGTAGCACTTGAACGATGGATTTTTTTGCTTCTTGTGGAAATCTCATATTGTGATATCAGAATTTGTGCATCCCAAATCAGAGTACATCAAAAATAGTATGCTAAAAGTGCATGGATGATATACTATATGTGATAAGATGAGAACTGAATCCCAATTTGCATACTATTCATCCTAAATAGTATGTGACATTAGTGCATCCCAAATCTTAATATGTAAAAAGTGCCTGGATGGTATACTGTTTCTGATGAGATGAGAATTGAATTCCAGTTCACATACTATCCACCCTAATTAGTTTGCGACATTACAATTAGAGCGTCCCAAATCTTAATATACCATCCAGGCCCTTTTAGCATACTATTCTTGATGCACTATTTCTAATGAGAGGAGAATTGAATCCCAATTCTCATACTATCCATACTAAATCGCATGTGACATGACAGTTAGTGCATCTCAAATCGTAGTACAATTAAAAAATGTGCATACTATCCATCCAAAATAGCATAGTGAAATAGCTAAATTATTTAGCAAACAAACATGCAAGGGGGTGATGGATGTTGTAGAACTTTGTGAATGATGGATATTTTGATTCTTGTGGAAATCTGTGGATGTTTCCGCTGTGTTTTGCAGGTGCTTTCAGATGTGTAGTGCTGGAGAAAAGCTGAAATGACTGTTTGTTTCATTATGTGTTAACAGGACGACCCAGTGACCAATCTGAATAATGCTTTCGAAGTGGCAGAACGATACCTTGACATCCCCAAGATGTTAGATGCGGAGGGTATGAACTCTTCTCTCGTTTTCTGCGTCCATCGCTATCTGTGTCTGCATATGAAGTTAGTTGGCTGTGCAATGATGTTTGTGAGTGGGAGAGAGAGTGAATGAGTTGCTCTATTAAAGTGTGTGTGTTTTGTGCATGTCCGCACATGCCCTGTATTTCCAGAAGTTGTTCCTTCTCTCTGACACAGACAGTGCAAACACCCACACTTAATGTCTTCCAGCAACATTGTGTCACCATGGTAGCACCCAATTTTTTTTTTGCCGATGCACCGAGTGAATCGGTGAATCTTCCCATCCCTACACTGTAGTATTAGATGTATTGTTTCTTTTTATTTAAATGATTTATATTTATTTATTTTTACACTCAAATCCCTGAGCAAGCTCCTGAAAACAGGCCGGATCGAGAGGGTGAGGGTTGGTATGACTCGTGCTGATTGTGTGCTTTGAGCTCATTCCTCTGACAGCACCAGGCCTCTCCTGTCAGTCACGCCGCTGCAGGAGCGCGAGTTTGTGTGGGACGGCCCGGGAAACAATGTGCTTCCCTCTTGCATGCGTTCTTGAGCAGGGAGTGGCAACGAGAGAGTTTTTTCTCTTACATTTCCGAAACTCCACGATGCCACCGCTGATCTCATTACAAATGATTCTGATCATAATACTCGAGGCGAAATGAGCGACATGCAATGCAAGTGCGACGTGTGTTTGCCAAGTATTTGCATCAACCTTGTGTACTTGTTTGTTTTTATATTGTATTTTTTTAATAACTTATAATTTACTATTAAAATATCTATATTATATATATTTTATATATTTTATTGATATATTTAGATATCTGAGTAAATAGTAATATAAATAATTTTTTTATTTTTTATAAATATGTTCACCTTTGTTCATGTATGTATATATATATATATTATATATAGTATATATAGTTATTTAAAATATCTATGTAGAGAATTGTTTAATATTTATATACTATTATATAATATAATAATTATTAATATTGGGAATTCTCTTATTTTTATATTTTCCGTTTTCATTTTGTCTCTTTTTTTTTTTTTTTTTTTTTTTTTTTTTTTTTTTTTTTTTCAGAGGGTATGAACTCTTCTCTCGTTTTCTGCGTCCATCGCTATCTGTGTCTGCATATGAAGTTAGTTGGCTGTGCAATGATGTTTGTGAGTGGGAGAGAGAGTGAATGAGTTGCTCTATTAAAGTGTGTGTGTTTTGTGCATGTCCGCACATGCCCTGTATTTCCAGAAGTTGTTCCTTCTCTCTGACACAGACAGTGCAAACACCCACACTTAATGTCTTCCAGCAACATTGTGTCACCATGGTAACATCCCTGAGCATTATGTTATTTCTCCCTCAAGCATAACTTCTCCAGGATCTCTGTTCAACCTGCTGCACCGGAGTGCTGTGTGTGTGTACTGTTTTGTAACCCTAATTTGCATAATGGGCAACCTCTATAGTTTGTGATGTCACTGGTGCATCCCAAATCATAGTACATTAAAAATAGTATGCTAAAAGTGCCTGGATGGTATACTATTTGTGATGAGAAGAGAACCGAATCCCAAGTCACATGCCATACATCCTAAATAGTATGTGACATTACAATTAGTGCATTCCAAGATGCGGAGGGTATGAACTCTTCTCTCGTTTTCTGCGTCCATCGCTATCTGTGTCTGCATATGAAGTTAGTTGGCTGTGCAATGATGTTTGTGAGTGGGAGAGAGAGTGAATGAGTTGCTCTATTAAAGTGTGTGTGTTTTGTGCATGTCCGCACATGCCCTGTATTTCCAGAAGTTGTTCCTGCTCTCCGACACAGACAGTGCAAACACCCACACTTAATGTCTTCCAGCAACATTGTGTCACCATGGTAACATCCCTGAGCATTATGTTATTTCTCCCTCAAGCATAACTTCTCCAGGATCTCTGTTCAACCTGCTGCACCGGAGTGCTGTGTGTGTGTACTGTTTTGTAACCCTAATTTGCATAATGGGCAACCTCTATAGTTTGTGATGTCACTGGTGCATCCCAAATCATAGTACATTAAAAATAGTTTGTGAAAATATTTCTATTTAGCTTTATTTTTATTTTGGTTTTAGTAATTTTAGTACTTAACTACATTTGATTTCATTTTGTTACCAAGGCAACATATTTAATTTTAATTTAATTAAAATGTTTCTTTATTTATTTTTAGAGTTGAAATGGCCAATATGAAATCCATGCACGATATGGTGGTGTGTTTGTGAAGTGCTTGCATCAGTGTTGTGCATTTCATTATAACTGGCCAAAAGTGGCACATAAATGCATGCATGTGTGGAGTAGCGGCTCTTCCTCTGTAATTCTTCTGACTTGGATGGAATGATGTCACCCCACACCCAACTAATCACAGACGTCCCGCAGGGCTTTCCCTAAACACATACACAGAGAGCGAGAGAGAGAGAGAGAGAGACCCTGTGTGAGCAGAGGTATTTCTGGCGTTTGTTGATAGTGTGGATGTGGCCGTTCGGCTCAGGTCCTGACTGGTTTGTGTGTACGTGTGTGAAGGCTGAATTGTTTTTGTGGCGGGCCTGTCCCGGGTAGGTGCCTGTCGTACGAGGGTAGGGGGTGGTGAAGGGACTCATTATCCACTAAACTCAATGGCGTCTTTGTGTTTCAGGCTGCAGGCCTAGAAACCCCTTTCCCAGTGTGATCTGATGCCTGTCTCTGTCTGTTCATGCTGCTTCATGTTGAGCTGCTGAGGATCACATAGGTATTGGAGACTAGTCAGAGAGGCTAACTAATGAGTAAATCACTTGTTTTTTTCTTTTACTTTTAATATTTTTTCACAATATAGAGTCATAAAGGAAGTAAATGTAGAGCACTTATTTTATTAGTGTTTATATACTATTATAGTATTTATTAATATTTTACATTTCCTTTTATTTTAATATTTTCATTTTGAATATAATTGATGATTTTATAAATTTTTAACATTTAGATATTTTTTAATGCTTTTTTTTGCTTCAATATTAGGCTTTATTTTTATTTTAGCTTTTGTTTTAGTTTTTTTTAGAGTGTGTGTGTGTGTGTATATACAGTGTGTGTATGTATATATATATATATGAGAATTAATTGTGTCACCATGGTAACATCCCTGAGCATTATGTTATTTCTCCCTCAAGCATAACTTCTCCAGGATCTCTGTTCAACCTGCTGCACCGGAGTGCTGTGTGTGTGTACTGTTTTGTAACCCTAATTTGCATAATGGGCAACCTCTATAGTTTGTGATGTCACTGGTGCATCCCAAATCATAGTACATTAAAAATAGTATGCTAAAAGTGCCTGGATGGTATACTATTTGTGATGAGAAGAGAACCGAATCCCAAGTCACATGCCATACATCCTAAATAGTATGTGACATTACAATTAGTGCATTCCAAATCTTAGTATTCCATCCATGCACTTTTAGCATCTAGTATTGATTTATTCTTTTTAATGAGAGGAGTGAATCCCAATTTGCATACTATCCATACTAAATAGTATGTAACATTAGTAGTACATAACAGAATGTAATAATATGTAACGCTTTTAGCATACTATTGATTTACTATTCTATGAGAGGAGAATTGAATCATAGTAAATTAAAACTTGTATTCTAAAAGTGCCTGGATTGTGTACAGTTTTTGATGTGAGCGGAATTGAATCCCAATTTGCATACTGTCCGTCCTGAATAGTATGTAACATTAGAATTAGTGTGTCCCAAATCATACTATGTAAAAAATATTATGCTAAATATGGATGGTGTATTGTTTCCAATGGATTTTCTAGATCTGATCTGTACTTGGTTTTGAGTACAGAATGAGTACTCTTCATTTGGCATAGTGTTTTTGGCATATGCTATATAGTAGAGAAAACCATAATCAGACACTGGGCCAGTTTTATTACGTAATGAATGTATGTAGATGCTAATGATCACATACAAATTCAAACAGCATGGAGCGAATGGATCTGTGGCATCAAGATGCAAGTCAGTGACATAGTAGTATGTCTAAATACTGGCATACCTCCTTACTACATACTGAAAAGTATGTTCTTGGCCATCACCAGTCAATCGAGGTTTGCCCATTGTCGTTGTGTGTATGTTAATGAGTGCGTAACTGGCACATGCCTGTTACAAGTGTGTGTGTTTGAGTCCCATCTGCGTCCTTGTATGTGCATGTATGTATAACTCTTGTTTCCCTGCAGACATTGTGAACACAGCACGTCCAGATGAGAAAGCCATAATGACCTATGTGTCCAGTTTCTACCATGCCTTTTCTGGAGCCCAGAAGGTACCCCATGACTCCTAACCCTTGACCCCTCATCATCTCCTCTTCAGCATGGCTTTTTCCACCAGTACTGGAATAACCAAAGAGGGGCGCTGGTGTCTTAACCCGTCCTCCCCTGGCCTACGACTCTTTTCTCAACAGCAGATTGGCTCTTTCTCTCACTTTGCGGGTTGCCAGGGTTATAACACAGGACTCCAAACTCCATTTCCCTTTGATGGGGAGCCCATAAAATGCATAACTATCCCCTCCTCTCTCAGTGGGCACACACAGGCTTTGGGTTGCTTTGCTTCACTGCTGTCTTTCTCTCTCTCTCTCTTTTTCGGCTGGCTTTGCTATAGATATCGTGGGTACTCTACGACCGGATGAGAAGGCTATTATGACCTACGTCTCCTGTTTCTATCACGCCTTCTCAGGTGCTCAGAAGGTGAGAAACCTTTGACCCCTGACTGTTGGCCTTGAAACTCTTAAATGTGCCTTCATACCTGGTCTCTCGTCTTGGTTTGTTGTACTTTGTTCCAATCAGATGTGCTGCAAGAGCAAAGGACTAACATTAAATGTTGCCTATGGCACTGTATAGCTTATACTCAGAATCTTTGCACATTTATGTTAATACAACAATATTAATAGACAACAGTTCTAGCATGGCTAATTGATATTGTCATATTAGGTTAGCTATTTCAAAATTCTTGTAGTTGCTCTCCTCACATTAATGTACACAAACATAACCACGTCAGATGAAGATCATTTTTTTTCGGTCTGGGTTTTCCCACTCTGTTGGCTCGCCATATAGCACTGACTTGTTCTGGATTGGGTATTTCAAACAAACGGCCAGATGGATGCCTTGTTTTCATGATCCATTGTTTTATTCCAATGCTATTATACTTTGAGTCAAATACAGAGTCTTAAATGAGGAAAGAATCCAGTTGTAATTATGGGAATGTAAAATTTTTAGCCAATTGCTGCTTAAATTGGTAATCCAATTTGTAACCTGCACCAAAAACCAATCCAACTGAACCAGGTGTGAAAGTGACTTGAGAGATAAGGCCACTGACTAGTTTTGAGTCATAACAGCTTTGGGCTTCACTACACCCAAACCATTGCCCTCACCCCTTTCTATATATGCTCTTATTTTCTAATGGTTCTGCAGTCATTTAATATCCTCAATGGGTGTACTGGTCTGTCACAACCTTCTTTAAATGCTGAAAAGGTGAATTTCATTTTGATGTTTCATATTTGCACTCAGTGATTAAGTTTGTAACAGTTGAGGACAGTGTTGAGTGTAAATATGAAAATCATAATGCAATTCACAGTATAGCTCACATTTAAAACTCTAGGGTTGCCGTTTTAATTCTTAGATGTTCTGTGTTATCTGTCTACACGAGCACATGTATTATGTTTGTTATTTATGTTAAGCCCACCTTTACATTGGACAGTACTTTTCTGTGAGGTTTTGGTGCTGCATATGCTAGATGTGTTTTGCATTTGAAGTGAAGCCACAGGCTTATAATTGTAATTGTTTAAATGTGCTTTAGCATTTTACACAAGCGTTTTGAACACTTTCTGTGTTTCAGTGTTAGTTAATGCTGTAGAGAACCCTGAAGAGATCCTCCAGTGGTGGTATAAAAATTGAGAATGCAGATTTGGTTTTACAAATGGCATGTGGATTTTTCAGCTAGACTACAAGTTTTCGAAACTAACCAATTGGTGTTTGCATGAAATTTCAATTAGTATAAAAGAGCTTACAAGTGAAGTATGTAATGTTGATGTTTAACTTGATCTTTATTTCATTTGGCTAGTTTTTACGCATGTAATTGTGTGTATAGCACATTATTAACTTACACACTTGGAGTTTTGTTTCATTGTGTGCTCAGTACATCGTTTGCGTGTTTTCTTTTTCTTTTTGCTATACCCACCAAACCAAAAACCATTAAATACTGGATAGTTCAAAATTTCTTTCCCGTGTAAACTAAAGCAGCATCTTGACATTTACAGTTCTAACCACAGATATGTCATACTTCTTAATTGAAGTGTATTGTGTATACTATATCATTGTACTTTAAACATATGGTATACCCTATATATTGGTGTTGTAAACATTGTGCTGTTCAATGTTTTTAGAATGATTGGATAAAATTTCATAATTAGAAAGATGCGTGATGTAATACGATTGTAACTGTCCTCTTCTGTGATAGGCTGAGACAGCAGCCAATCGTATCTGCAAGGTGTTGGCAGTTAATCAGGAGAATGAGCACCTGATGGAGGACTATGAAAAACTGGCCAGTGATGTAAGTTTGAGTCATTTTGTTTGTTGTTTGTGTGATATTCAAGTAGATGTGGTAGTAGATGTAGTAATATTTAATGCAGACCTATTTCTAGACAAACTACCCAGAGTGTTTTACTTTTTTATGTCTCCGTATGTTTGAGAGGAGAATGTGTTTTCTGTTGATCCTCCATTCATTTCTTTATTGCATGCTTTTTCTCTTATAGCTGTTGGAGTGGATTCGTAGGACAATCCCATGGTTGGAAAACCGTGCTCCAGAGAAAACCATGACAGAAATGCAGCAGAAATTGGAAGATTTCCGTGATTACCGTCGCGTTCACAAACCACCCAAAGTTCAAGAGAAGTGTCAGCTAGAGATCAACTTCAACACACTGCAGACCAAACTCCGTCTGAGCAACCGACCAGCCTTTATGCCATCTGAGGGACGCATGGTGTCGGTATGTACAATTCAATTTATAAGACTTAAAAGTCTTTTTGCTTTATCGCTATGACGAAACTTGTTCATTCTCAACCTCTGTTGTTGAACCACTGGCTCAATTCTGAAAGATATTTGGCTGAAAAGTTCTTTATTTCTTTCTAGGACATTAATGGTGCATGGCATAAACTGGAAGGGGCAGAGAAAGGCTATGAAGAGTGGCTACTGAATGAGATCCGTCGTTTAGAGAGACTTGACCATCTTGCAGAAAAGTTCCGTCAGAAAGCAGCCATCCATGAAAGTTGGACAGATGGTATGGATACAGAAACTACACCTGAACTTACTGATGCTTTTGACAATTATTCACATTCACCTACAGTAATTCACCAATCGCTCTCAGTATACATTAACAGGCTGCTCCTTTATGACTCTTCCATCAGTGTTTTGAATCTCATGAATGCAGAGCCTTGTCAGCTATGCAGAAGTCTTAAGAAACAGTCATTAGATCTAAATTGATCTGTTTGTTTGTTTGTGTAGGTAAGGAGGCCATGCTAACACAGAAGGATTATGAGACCGCAACTCTGTCTGAGATCAAAGCTCTCCTGAAGAAGCATGAGGCGTTCGAAAGTGACCTTGCTGCCCACCAGGACAGAGTGGAGCAGATTGCCGCCATTGCACAGGAGCTCAAGTGAGAAAACAACAAAAAATAGAAGCAACAAACAACAACAGATAGAGCTAATTCATTAAATAAAAAATTCTGGCTGTAAGTGAAGTTGAGACAATGTTCAAACTCTTCTCTGTCTGTATTATAGTGAGCTGGACTACTATGACTCCCCGAGCGTTAATGCACGCTGTCAGAAGATCTGTGAGCAATGGGATGCTCTGGGTTCCCTCACACAGAGCCGCAGAGAGTCTCTCGAGGTACGCATGCTTTCTCGGAGAGACACTTTCTGGCATATTTATACATTTTGTCATGTTGACTGTGTGTTTATCTGGTCTACAGAGAACAGAGAAACAGCTGGAGTCTATTGATGAGCTGTACCTGGAGTACGCCAAGAGAGCAGCACCGTTCAACAACTGGATGGAGGGAGCCATGGAGGACCTTCAGGACATGTTCATTGTACACAACATCGAGGAGATTCAGGTACTGCAAAATGTTTCGTATTCGTAATTTTTCCATTTTGCTTCGCCTCTGAAATGGAGCTTCTTGTTTTGTTGCTGGTATCTCTGGATAGTCCATTTCAGAACAAGGTGAACTGAACAAAAAAAATGCTCGATGCAAGAATCCTTTTTCTACCGTTTTTCACTTCTTTCTCTTTATGTAGGGACTGATAACGGCTCATGACCAGTTCAAATCAACTCTTCCAGAGGCAAATAAAGAGCGGGAATCTATTCAGGCCATCCAGGCTGAAGTTCAGAAAATCGCACAGTACAATGGCATCAAACTGGCTGGAAACAATCCTTACACCACCATCACCCCTCAGAGCATTGACAAAAAATGGGAGAAGGTAAGATCTGTTTGTATTGTGAATGAGACATTGCTTCCTTCAGGTGTGTGGGTGTAGGTAGTGCTGGGCGGTATGACCAAAAATTTATATCACGGTATTTTTCAAAATTATACCGGTTTCACAGTACATGACGGTATTTTTTTTTCATGCATGACCGGGTGTTAACCATATTTTCTTCATGTCATGATGAGTGAATATACACTAAATAGTGACTAAACACGACCCCTTTTAATACATGTTAACCAGGAGTCACTCTCATTTATAATCGCGGCATCGTCTGATAAAATCAACATGCATCTACACTAAAGAGCGGCTATGCGGTTGTTTTGGCTATATTACTTTTTTGTCTCATGCAGCGCACTGCCTGCGTCTGAGTAACAAACAAAAAAAAAACAACAAACAAAAAAGTGCATGTGATATTAACAGACGAACTACGCTCATATTTATAATTCCAAACAGTCAGTAAGCGAAAGGTGCTAGGAAACGCTGTTTTGTACTCATTTATTGATGAGTCGGCTGCGGTGCGGCCAACTGAATGCGCTGCTTCTCTGCCGCTCACTGCACAGAACAGACGACGAGAGAGGTGACACTTCTCCGGGAAAGTCAGACCTCGCATTTGCGGGACAGCACTGGTGAAATCTTCCAACTGAACCATAGCTAAGGCTTATCCAAAAAAGTCGATAGGTTTGTCAGTATGAGTATTCTATGGAAAAAATCAGCTAAAGTCGCGCTCGTGTGTGTGAGACGCGGGAGCTGATG